AATTATCTGAAGGGGATCTTATATGGGGGATTATGGACAGATCCACATAAAATTTGGTAGAGAGTATTTTTGTCATAAGAGATTTACTTATGTCAATTTTCATTGCTATACTTGTATTTTTAAGCCAGTATAGATCATTAAAGTCGTTTTTTGAAGGGGACTTTATATGGGGTGTAGGGTCAATTATGGACCGATCTACATAAAATTTGATATAGAGATTTTGGTTACATGGAACTTATGTGTGTCGAATTTTATCGCTATACTCGTACTTTTAAAACACATATGCCCGTTAAAGCTCTTTTTCGAGGGTCCACTTGTATGGGAGCTATCCGAAAACGTGGATCGATATTTCCCATTTTCAATACTAAACAAATTTTAACCCTTTAGCTCATTCCGTTCGGACTCTATCGTGCTTTCAACAGACAGATAGACAGACAGACGGACTGACATACGGACGGACATGGCTACATTGTCTTAGAATTTAATAAGTACCCAGAATATATATACTTTTGTATATATAATTCGATGTGTTACAAATGGAATGACAAAATCAATATACCCCCCCCCCCCCCTTCTTTTTTGATGGTGGGTATAAAAATATTAAAATATTCTCACAGCAAACTGAAATTTTATATCCGTTCTATAACAACAAAATGAAATTTAAACATTTGATTTTTAATTTCTTTTACTAGCATTAAAATAAAACTTTCGTATTAATATTCATCATATTATTCTATATAAATAAATTGCCATTCAAGCCTGATAAATGTATTGAAAACAAAAAAATTTTAAAGAAAATTTCCGTTGCGGAAATGCATGTTTGAAAAGCTAAAATTTAGGATGAAAAAAGTCGCTTCTTAAAATGGAAATAAGTTTTTTTTTTTTTATACGAGTAAAATGTGCAAATAAAAACACTTGAATTGAAGTAGTTGAAAGATATTTCCAAAAAGAATAAGTTATTAGAATATAATTCCGATGGGTAGGAGCAAAAATTACATCAAAACCTGGATATAAATAATAAAAAATAAGTAAAAGAGTATAGACGGACGTGGCCAACCATATGATAACCTACACCAGTTATGAGTATATGTATCTAAAATGTGTATTATTTTTAATAATAAAGCATATGCGTTGAATTTTTCCTTAATTTCGATATATTTTTCATGAAAAAATTATTTTCTAATGGATAGGAGCTAGGCGATTGATATATATAGGCGCTAGGGTCAATAATGAACTGATCTCAACAAAATTTGGTAGAGTTATTTTTGTTGATATTAAAGTTAATTACGCCGAAATACACGTCTTTATAAGGGAATTAACGACGTTCAAGCATTTTCAGAGGGGGGCTTTGCAAGGGGGCTAGGGTTAAAGAGAGGGCCGCTCATTACGAAATTTTGCAGTATCATTTATACTTGTATACAACGTAGTTGAGCCTATTTTTGTAGGGATATTAGTATATTTGGCAAAATTATGAGATACAAATCCCAATTTAGGGGGTCCGAAATAATGGACCGATATCAACCAAAATCAATAGGATTAGTCCTTGGGTCAATAGTAATGTATATACCAAATCCAATTATCTTCCAAATTACAACCTGTAGTTTGATTACAAGGCTTACATGGACAGACAGACAAACATACAGACGGACGGATGGACATGGTTTAATCAACTCTGAAAATGATTCTGAGCAGAGTGTTATACTTAAAGGTGGTTATAGTACCATTAAATCTGTGCTTTAAAAACATCAGCACAAATCCAATATATCATACTCACTAAAGTGGTGTAGGGTATAAATACCGATCGACTATTTCTGTCCGTCTGGCTGGCTGCCCATGTAAATCAAATATGCAAGATATACATAGTCCTACGCAAAATGGTTAAAATTATTCCAGAATTGCAAGAAGCCTATCCAAAATAGTGCTTTGGTGATCAGTTTTATATAAAATATACGTTTATATTAAAAAATTAACTTTAGTAAATGGAATTAGAAACACAAAATTTGATTTAGATTTTTTTGTCAATATCGATTTGTATTTAATATTCTAATTAGTACTTAATTTAATGAAAAACATACGGAATAAATCAGAGATTTTGTTCTAAGATGAATACAGAATATTATTTCTCTCCAATCCAATGTTATAATCAAAAACTTTAGTTAAAAAGAAATTGGTAGTCAAATAAAAGAAAATGCGGTGTTTAAAAAAATTAAAAGTTTTTTGAGTAAAAAATGTATTAAAAAAATATTCCTATTTCTTATATAAACTTTATTTAAGTGCTATTAAGAAAAGTTTTATTATGTACATTTTTTACTAGAAAAATCTTAAAAAAATATAAATTTATCTACAAATTTAAAGTAACAAAATTTTTAAAATTATAAAATATTAATTCGCAAATATGTATTACAGATCTCTAGAGGTAAGTAAACTGTCAATGGAATTCTATTGTGACTGGTATCTAGTTCTAACTAAAAGGAGATCTTTTCAAAAGGAGAGAAACTTGATACGAATTTTTTAAAATATTGAAAAGATTTATGTAAGTATTTAATCAAGTCCATTTAAGTTAACGGTAAGTCCTTTAATTTAATAGTTTATTATTAGAGAACTCTATAAAATTTAATTTCAAATTCAACCTTGAAAATAGATATGTAATGTATGTTGTTTCCACAAAATATTGATTTGAGACAATAGATTTTATAATATATTTAATAATCTTGATATTATACTTATTTATATTCTTTTCAGTAAAATGTATACCAGTTTGACCTCTTGCCGTTGTATCCACTTGGATATTAAACTATTATATTTTTTTTTTGGTTCAATGGAAGTCACGATTCTTATGCTAACTATATTATCCTTTACCTGTGGTGCATGATAATGATTGTTGTTGTCGTTTCGGTTGCTGTTGATGCTGGTGCTGTGGTTTTCTGATGCTGTTATTCATGATTAAGTATTATTGTTGTTCTTAAAGTGTTTAAAAGTGGCAGCGGATGTGTATAGATATGTATAAATGTGTTTTGCAGAAACCAGCTCTTTAACTACACACAATCATTAACAGTAACCAACCAGCCAAGCAGACCAAACCAACCATCGAACCAGCAAACCAGTTAAATACTAAACCCCCACTAACCACCAACCAAGCAACCTACATAAATACATACATTTCTTCGTTTAAAAAAACCCCAACAACCTACTCTAACCTTTTTTGGCTTTCTTCCGTTTCCCATGTATCTACTTACCACGATGCTATTTAGCTAAACAAGATTAAATTAAGATTGATGAACAGCATTTTCAGAAATAAAAGGAGAAATTCAGTAAAGACAAAAATATATACACATGTAAGTTTGTTACTCGCCCACACATATTTTTGTATCATTCTGTTATTTAGATTTTTTTTAAAAGAAAATATTAGGAAATTAGGCTTTAAGAAATAAAGGACTACTTCTTTTTTGTTAATGTCCTTTTCTGTTTACGGTTTGTTGCTGTTCTTGTTTTAAAATGTCAAGGCTAGTATCTTTACAAAAAAAAAAAAAAAAAATATCATTTATCAAAATATCTTCAAACTGGTGCGAAAAAGTAATAAAGAACTTAAACATTTTTTTGCGAAAGACTACAAGACATTCAGATGCGAAAGTGTACATCTAAATATTAATTTTTTTTTATTCACGTTACGCATAAAATCATTAAAAAGTCATAAAACTGACATTTTGTTACACTCTTAGTGCCTTTATTAGGTTCCAGTGTTATGCCATTTACTGAGAGTTGCTTATAATGATTTAAAAATTTTATGTTGGCAAATTGACATTAATAGATTTTATGAGTTTTTTTAATTGTTGGGCCTAATTTTCATTTCAGATAAAGGGTTGTGGAATAGTTAAATACGAAAATTGGGAAAAATTGGACAGGTCAAAAATAAGAAGTAGATAAATTGTGTTAATAATTAATTTACACGGGTTATAATCACAAAAACTAACTAACTAACTAACTAACTAACTAACTAACTAACTAACTAACTAACTAACTAACTAACTAACTAACTAACTAACTAACTAACTAACTAACTAACTAACTAACTAACTAACTAACTAACTAACTAACTAACTAACTAACTAACTAACTAACTAACTAACTAACTAACTAACTAACTAACTAACTAACTAACTAACTAACTAACTAACTAACTAACTAACTAACTAACTAACTAACTAACTAACTAACTAACTAACTAACTACTAACTAACTAACTAACTAACTAACTACTAACTAACTAACTAACTAACTAACTAACTAACTAACTAACTAACTAACTAACTAACTAACTAACTAACTAACTAACTAACTAACTAACTAACTAACTAACTAACTAACTAACTAACTAACTAACTAACTAACTAACTAACTAACTAACTAACTAACTAACTAACTAACTAACTAACTAACTAACTAACTAACTAACTAACTAACTAACTAACTAACTAACTAACTAACTACTAACTAACTAACTAACTAACTAACTAACTAACTACTAACTAACTAACTAACTAACTAACTAACTAACTAACTAACTAACTAACTAACTAACTAACTAACTAACTAACTAACTAACTAACTAACTAACACTAACTAACTAACTAACTAACTAACTAACTACTAACTAACTAACTAACTAACTACTAACTAACTAACTAACTAACTAACTAACTAACTAACTAACTAACTAACTAACTAACTAACTAACTAACTAACTAACTAACTAACTAACTAACTAACTAACTAACTAACTAACTAACTAACTAACTAACTAACTAACTAACTAACTAACTAACTACTAACTAACTAACTAACTAACTAACTAACTAACTAACTAACTAACTAACTAACTAACTAACTAACTAACTAACTAACTAACTAACTAACTAACTAACTAACTAACTAACTAACTAACTAACTAACTAACTAACTAACTAACTAACTAACTAACTAACTAACCCTGGATTCACCAAGAAAGGGTGAGTGGACTAGGCATGAAAAGCTTTAAGCTATTGTACGCAAAAGGATCTGGTAAGATTCGATCCTGTATAGTAGCCAAAAGCAGTCTCAACATCTTCATTCTTTCTGATTTCAGTGATGAAGACACCGTAGCAGCCATATGGGAGACCAGTGTAGGTGCTATATTGGTTATCTCGGCGTACATGGCTCACGACCACAGCGACCAGCCACCGAACAACCTGGTCTGCAGATCCATAGAGATGGCAAACTCGAAAAGCATGCCGATCATTATGGGGGCTGATGCCAATGCCCATCACACTGTCTGGGGAAGCTCGGACATAAACGCTAGAGGTGAGTCAATCTTTAACTTCATTCTAAGCAATAATCTTGATATTTTAAATACAGGATCCGAACCGACCTTTATTGTTTCAAACAGAAGGGAAGTTCTCGACATTACGCTGGTTAGTTCTATGCATCATGATAGGATAAGGGGATGGAGAGTCTCAAGTGACTGCTCTTTCTCTGACCATCAGTACATCGATTTTGAAATCGTAGTTGACAAAGTGGCCCCAAAGCCCTTTATAAACAGGAGACGAACAGATTGGGAAATGCAAATGGGGCTAATCTCACGTTCACTCCAGGATGTACCGATCATCGAAAACCGATCGGACATAGAAAACGCGGTTGAAACCATAAATCAAGCTTTCAAACACGCGACTTCACTGTCTTGTAAACAGAATATGCACAAAGGCAGATGCAGGCCCCCATGGTGGTCTGCGGACATTGCGAAATCTCGAAAAGAGACGCGCAGACTGTTTAACGAGGCAAAGAAAACAGGAAACTGGATTTCTTACAAGACCTCGGTTAATCGTTTCAAGAACCTGGTAAGAAATGCAAAGCGCAAATCTTGGAAAACCTTCTGTAGCGTGGAAGGTTCTTCTGAGACCAGTCGTCTGCGCAAAATCTTATCATCTACTCCTCCTGTCCCAAGTTTCATTCAGAAACCTTGTGGCAGTTGGACGACCAGTAGCCAAGAAACCTTAGAAGTTTTAATGGCCACTCACTTTCCAGGCTGTCAATCTCCGGAAAACGGTACTGACATGCAGTTTACAGATCTCCCAGCTGATACAGGAATATCCATAAATGAAGATAAAATCAACTGGGCGATAAACAGCTTCGACCCCTACAAATCACCGGGTCCTGACTAGTGTTTATAAAAAACCGACTTTTGGAAAAACCGGTTTTTCGGTTAACCGAAAATTAACCATTTCTAAAAAACCGGTTTGTCGGTTAACCGAGTATAAAAAACCGGTTAAACCGGTTAACCGAAATGTTTGGAAATCTTTAAAATATTATAATATATAGTTGAAAAATGTCATTTTGCGAAATATTATAAATTACTTAATAAGATATTTGCATTTTTTAGTATAGATATGTACATTAATATATCATAAGAAAACAAACTTATATAGATCTGAAGATATTATTGATTCGTTAGGTATATGGAAGTTGCCATACGAGGGATAAATTGACCATATATATCAATAGCAAAAATTATGCCCAGAACTATAAACAGTGTTCAGGTTCGCGACGATTGTCTCGACATAGACAGTGACCTCCCTCCACTCACTACGCCTGTGGTTGTTCAAATTACTGTGAATGACGCTTAGGAATATTGACAGGTGTCATTCTGACTTCCTGTCAATCAACCTAAGCGCCATTACAGTTTGTGAAAAACCCCAGCAGCATAAGTTCTCGGACGGCAACAACAATCCTTATGTTTCGATAAATAAAGTCCGTTTTGAGAACGTTTGAGAAACTTCTCGATTTTTACTATACTCACGCAGTAAACAAGTAAGTATATAGATAATATTTGTTTAACAATCTTAGGTCTGTTTTCATATGCACAAACGGAAAATAATGTTTAAAATTATCTATCCAAAATTTTTAAAAATCACAATAAAATATCAAAGAAAACATAAAATTTTGTACTAAAAATTAGATTTTTTTGAAACCGGTTAACCGAGACTTAAAAACCGGATAACCCGGTTAACCGAAAACCAATGTTTTAAAAAACCGGTTTGCGAAAAACCGAAATATGCAATAAAAACCGGTTTTTCGGTTAACCGGTTAACCGGTTTATAAACACTAGTCCTGACGGTATAATACCTGCGGATTTGCAATACAATGCTGTCCATCTTATGCCTTGGCTAACGCGGATATATGATGCCTGTTTAAAATGGTCTTATATACCCGAACCCTGGACCAAGTGCACAGTGGTTTTCATTCCGAAAGGAGGAAAGACCTCTCACACGAAGCCAAAGGATTTTAGACCAATTAGTCTATCCTCCTTTCTTCTCAAAACTTTGGAAAGGATAATTGATCTGCATCTCAGAATACATATCAAACCTGACCATTTATCAGCATCTCAACATGCCTACATGAAGGGAAAATCTGTTGAGACTGCATTACATTCGCTAGTTTGTCACATTGAAAAGACAATAGCGCAAGGGGAATATACACTGGTTGCCTTCTTGGACATCGAGGGGGCTTTCAACAATGTTCACCCTGGGTCGATAACAACGGCCCTAACTGGTCTGGGTATAAACCAACCAATAACAGCTTTCATCAAGAGATTACTGACTCAGCGAATCATTATCTCCGAAATGGGAGCAGCAAATGTCACAAAAGTGGCAAATCGCGGTACCCCACAAGGTGGAGTTCTATCTCCACTTCTGTGGAACCTAGCGTTGAACCCACTTCTTATGGATCTTAGATCTATGGGATTTAAGGTAATAGCATATGCAGACGATGTGTCTGTAGTAGTATCTGGCAAATATCTGGATACTTTATCGCAAAGGATGGAGATTGCACTCAGGACACTCAGTACATGGAGCAACGTCAGTGGCCTTGGTGTTAATCCATCGAAAACGGAACTTGTTCTCTTCACTAAGAAGTACAAGATACCCACCTTCACTCTCCCACGACTGAATGGGATAGAATTGAAGTTATCGGATAGTGCTAAATATCTGGGAGTAATCCTAGATTCAAAACTATCATGGCATTTGAACACTCAATCTAGAGTATCAAAAGCGGCTGCGGCCTTATACTCGTGTAAAAGAGCAATTGGCAAATCATGGGGCATAAACCCCAAGAATACCAAATGGCTCTTCGACATGGTAGTCAAGCCCATACTATTGTACGGTGCACTTGTATGGTGGAAGTCTGTACAAAAGGACTCACACCGCAAACGTTTTGAGGGAATCCTTCGCACATCAGCTCTGTTGATAACGGGGGCTCTCCGCACCACCCCATCAAAGGCTCTCTTTGTCATGATGGGATGGCTACCTATTGATCTAATGGCCCAAGAGGTTGCCCTCAACGCGGCTATTAGACTCAATACAATTGGTATGTGGCATATGATTCAGTCAGGTCACTCCACCATCCTCAATTGTCTAGGAGAAATTCCTGGCAATATCGACTATTGCATCGCCAAACCGTCTTTTGATAGAAGCTTTTCGGTGAATATCCGAGACGACCCAAATGTGATGGAAACAATCCTCCATGATGGATCGTATAAGGTTTTCACTGATGGCTCAAAATCAAACCATGGTGTAGGCGGTGGCTTTTACATAGCACATTCGGGAACGGAAGTATCATTCAAGCTTCCTGACCAATGTAGCGTCCTTCAGGCTGAACTATCAGCCATTAAACGGGCTGCAAACTGGCTCAGGTTTTATCGAATATACGGTGTTAATATTCGAATTTATACCGACAGCCAGGCAGCCCTTAAGGTTCTAAGTGGTGTCTACACGACGTCAAACTTAGTCCTAGAATGCCGGGCATCCCTTAACGAGATGGCGAAACATTCCACAATAGGACTGTATTGGATTCCAGGACATCAGCAAATTCCTGGTAATACCATCGCGGACTCTCTTGCCAAGTTAGGCTCCTCGCTTGCAGGAGAGCATACCGACCCTTTTGTCGGTATACCGCTTTCAACCTGCAAACGCTCGATACGTGAAAAACTATATGAGCTTGCGCAATGCAGATGGTCGACTGAAGCCACCTGTAGACAGGCAAGGATCATGTGGCCATCTTACGACCCACAAAGATCCCAAGCCCTTTTCTACATTCCGAGAGTTAATCTACGGAACTTAACGGCAGTGGTAACTGGCCACTGGCCTTTCGGACTCCATGCAAGAAGACTGAACTTACCCAGTAACGACTTCTGCAGGAGCTGCCAGGATGAAGAGGAAGAAGAGAGTATAACTCACTTCCTCTGTCATTGTCCTGCCCTAGCTGATCACAGAGTGGGTCTGCTAGGTAGCTATTTTCTGCATGACTTAGCGGATCTATCGGAGGTTGATATCCGAAAGATAGATTCCTATATTCGTGCGACAAACTGGTTCGGTGGAAACCAGAGTGATTAGGTTGAAGTGTACTAATACGCCGACCGTTCTCTCTCGTTTCAGGTATCACAAAGGGATCAAAATTCTGGACCCAAGTGTGTCCCCAGTGATGACATCGCGAGGACGACCTGCCTACCTAACCTAACCTAACTAACTAACTACTAACTAACTACTAACTACTACTAACTAACTAACTAACTAACTAACTAACTAACTAACTAACTAACTAACTAACTAACTAACTAACTAACTACTAACTAACTAACTAACTAACTAACTAACTAACTAACTAACTAACTAACTAACTAACTAACTAACTAACTAACTAACTAACTAACTAACTAACTAACTAACTAACTAACTAACTAACTAACTAACTAACTAACTAACTAACTAACTAACTAACTAACTAACTAACTAACTAACTAACTAACTAACTAACTAACTAACTAACTAACTAACTAACTAACTACTAACTAACTAACTAACTAACTAACTAACTAACTAACTAACTAACTAACTAACTAACTAACTAACTAACTAACTAACTACTAACTAACTAACTAACTAACTAACTAACTAACTAACTAACTAACTAACTAACTAACTAACTAACTAACTAACTAACTAACTACTAACTAACTAACTAACTAACTAACTAACTAACTAACTAACTAACTAACTAACTAACTAACTAACTAACTAACTAACTAACTAACTAACTAACTAACTAACTAACTAACTAACTAACTAACTAACTAACTAACTAACTAACTAACTAACTAACTAACTAACTAACTAACTAACTAACTAACTAACTAACTAACTAACTAACTAACTAACTAACTAACTAACTACTAACTAACTAACTAACTAACTAACTAACTAACTAACTAACTAACTAACTACTAACTAACTAACTAACTAACTAACTAACTAACTAACTAACTAACTAACTAACTAACTAACTACTAACTAACTAACTAACTAACTAACTAACTAACTAACTAACTAACTAACTAACTAACTAACTAACTAACTAACTAACTAACTAACTACTAACTAACTAACTAACTAACTAACTAACTAACTAACTAACTAACTAACTAACTACTAACTAACTACTAACTAACTAACTAACTAACTAACTAACTAACTAACTAACTAACTAACTAACTAACTAACTAACTAACTAACTAACTAACTAACTAACTAACTAACTAACTAACTAACTAACTAACTAACTACTAACTAACTAACTAACTAACTAACTAACTAACTAACTAACTAACTAACTAACTAACTAACTAACTAACTAACTAACTAACTAACTAACTAACTAACTAACTAACTAACTAACTAACTACTAACTAACTAACTAACTAACTAACTAACTAACTAACTAACTACTAACTAACTAACTAACTACTAACTAACTAACTAACTAACTACTAACTAACTAACTAACTAACTAACTAACTAACTAACTAACTAACTAACTAACTAACTAACTAACTAACTAACTAACTAACTAACTAACTAACTAACTAACTAACTAACTAACTACTAACTAACTAACTAACTAACTAACTAACTAACTAACTAACTAACTAACTAACTAACTAACTAACTAACTAACTAACTAACTAACTAACTAACTAACTAACTAACTAACTTTTTTTTTTTTTGTTTAAATTATTAAATTTATTTATTTTAGAAAAATTCATTTACAATTTTCTTAAATAATAATCCCGCGAAGTCATTAGGCTTATCTGCAGGATGTAGTAATTTAAAATACATATGTTTAAAAAATCATTTGTTTTCATTGTGAATTTAAAAAGTGGAGTTTTAATAACTTTTTTCTTCTATATTCGTTCTGGACATTTAGTAAATTTGTAGGCAGTTTGTTTAATAGAGTCGGTAATACGACATCCAAGCTGTTTTTTCCATAGTTGTTTTGGAACCGTTCTACTAACTAACTAACTAACTAACTAACTAACTAACTAACTAACCAACTAACTAACTAACTAACTAACTAACTAACTAACTAACTAACTAACTAACTAACTAACTAACTAACTACTAACTAACTAACTAACTAACTAACTAACTAACTAACTAACTAACTAACTAACTAACTACTAACTAACTAACTAACTAACTAACTAACTAACTAACTAACTAACTAACTAACTAACTAACTAACTAACTAACTAACTAACTAACTAACTAACTAACTAACTAACTAACTAACTAACTAACTAACTAACTAACTAACTAACTAACTAACTAACTAACTAACTAACTAACTAACTAACTAACTAACTAACTAACTAACTACTAACTAACTAACTAACTAACTACTAACTAACTAACTAACTAACTAACTAACTACTAACTAACTAACTAACTAACTAACTAACTAACTAACTAACTAACTAACTAACTAACTAACTAACTAACTAACTAACTAACTACTAACTAACTAACTAACTAACTAACTAACTAACTAACTAACTAACTAACTAACTAACTAACTAACTAACTACTAACTAACTACTAACTAACTAACTAACTAACTAACTAACTAACTACTAACTAACTAACTAACTAACTAACTAACTAACTAACTAACTAACTAACTAACTACTAACTAACTAACTAACTAACTAACTAACTACTAACTAACTAACTAACTAACTAACTAACTAACTACTAACTAACTAACTAACTAACTAACTACTAACTAACTAACTAACTAACTAACTAACTAACTAACTAACTAACTAACTAACTAACTACTAACTAACTAACTAACTACTAACTAACTAACTAACTAAAACTACTAACTAACTAACTAACTAACTAACTAACTAACTAACTAACTAACTAACTAACTAACTAACTACTAACTAACTAACTAACTACTAACTAACTAACTAACTAACTAACTAACTAACTAACTAACTAACTAACTAACTAACTAACTAACTAACTAACTAACTAACTAACTAACTAACTACTAACTAACTAACTAACTAACTAACTAACTAACTAACTAACTAACTAACTAACTAACTAACTAACTAACTACTAACTAACTAACTAACTAACTAACTAACTAACTAACTAACTACTAACTTACTTACTTACTACTAACTAACTAACTAACTAACTAACTAACTAACTAACTAACTAACTAACTAACTAACTAACTAACTAACTAACTATCTAACTAACTAACTAACTAACTAACTAACTAACTAACTAACTAGCTAACTAACTAACTAACTAATTAACTAACTGGAAATTGCAAACGAAATGACAAACTTATATCGTCACCTGAAACGCAAACGGCCCTACCTAACCAAAAACGCAAAATCGATTTTTTGCAGATTCTAATGTATTGCAACAAAACAAATGTCCACAAATAAATTAGACTCCTGGTACCAGAATTAGCTATTTTATTGACAAAAAACAAAAGGCCCTAAAACATTTTTTATGTACGCCAATGTAATACGTTTCACCATTAAACAATTTGTTTATTTTATAAAAAAAATCGCGCTAAAAGAAACAAACTTTTCAATTTAAATAGTTTTTTGCTTCTCCTGTAAAATTTCAAAAATGTTAGATTGGGCCGTTTGAGTTTTAGGTGACGATATGTACCCTTCTAACGAAGGTAAAAAAGTAATTTTGCTTAAAAATCGTTTAATGTTTTTAAAATTTTTATTTACATGTTCATTTATACAAATTCATTTGTATAGTCATATAATATTTCCGTTTCCGCAAGCTGAAAGAGATTTAAAAGTCAAACAAACATTACAGGCTTAAACTAAATGTGTGGCCTCCGGTAGGTTAGTGGTTAGTGTTCTAGACTGGTAGACCGGAGGTGGTGGGTTCGATTCCCACCTGAGGCACTGGTTAAGGAGCGCACAACAGGCCCGATAGAGGCCTAGGTGTATTTCTTCGGATTTGATGTATATACATCCTCCTTTCAAACTAACTAACTAACTAACTAAACTAAATGTATGTGGCTTTAATTTTTTCTATACATATTCATATCAAAAGATTAAGTATTGAATTGCTTGGTTATTTAAGTTTGATATTTTTTTTTAATTTATTTTTTTTTTCCTTTGCATAGAAATAAGGATATAAACTATCTAAACATTTTTTTGTAACTGGGTATGTATGTGAAGAATAATCCTTAGAAGCAAAAGGACAAATTTGTATATATGTATATTTGAATTCAAGTTTTTCTTTTAGGTATTATTTAAAATAAAAATTGAAGGAAAATCCTTATGTATTGAATTCAATATGTGGCTTAATACTCTTTAATTTGCGAGGTTTTGTTCTTTTCATTCTATTTTTGCATAAGGCTTTTAGGGTTTCAGGGCCAATAGCGTCAAAAAGGTTACAGTATTAAGTTTTTTTTTATTTATTTTATTGCCTAAATTGCGGAAATGCTTATTTTAAAGCTATTTTTGTTGAAATAAGAAAATTATAAAAACTAAAAATTTAATTTATCTTTATATGTATTATAAAACAACTTCCTTAAAATCCTAAATTTTTGTTATAAATTATTTTTTAAGAAAATGTAAATTTCGAATATTCACATAAAAACATAATTATAATTATTTAAAAAGTCGAATTTTCACGAAATTCTTCACTAAAAATTGTATTTTTTACTATACTTTTCATTATAAAATATAATTTTCACAAAAAAGAAAATTAAATATTTTCAAAAAATCGAATTTTTACAAAAAAGTGATTTTTAAAAAAAATTGAGATTTTACAAAAAAAAAATTTTTCACTAAAAACCAATATTCAACAGATTATCCAATAAAACTCGCACAATAACTTTTACCAGACTTTTATCGAGGAACTCAATGATTCACTAATAAATCCAGGAAATCATTTGTTTTCTAAATATCGAAAGTATATTACTCAGTTTACTTGCCCATGCCATCTTTCAGTTAATTCAGTAATGTTTGAATTTCAAACAAATTCAAAATTTAAAGATTTTAATACTTTTCTTAAGAGGATGATTCTTGTGGCTGCTGTTGTTTTTATTTGAAACTAAACCACAATCGTTAAAGAAA